TTGATTACTTTAAAGCCGAAAATCCAAATATACATATTTTGTATGACTGAATTTGGTATTTTTATTGTATATTATATGTCGGGCGTATAGTTTCTTCATGTCGCGAATGAGCATCAGAATAGGTTGTGCAGAAAATGGTGCTCCCGTAGTATGTGCACAAAGTTGGCACACAACCCGAACATAGTATGTGTACCAAGATAGAGGTAATAGGTTGTGCGCCATCTTGGAGCACATAGGCTACTACGGGAGCGCCCTGAACCGACTTACCGAATACAAATTTTACACTTCCACAATTTCGCTTTCGATACTTTCTCACATGTATCATGATACCAACGCTTGCAAATGAAGCATTGATATTGTACGTGCTCCCGTATACATTTCGCACTTTAACAGACACTCCAATTATTATTTTCCAGAAAGCAAAATTCATGCATCGGAATGTCAGAGTATATAAGTGGCGACGATGCAGTGCGACAACGTTCCAAGTGTGATTGAATTTTTGTTGACTCCGACTTGTTCAATCTTCCATCTGGGCGTTTTGAAGAGGTATGTACTCACTTCAAATATAAATACTTGCACCACCTTCGGGCAGACGTCAAATTGAAATTAGCGATAAGAATAGCACTCAATATACATCGGATTGTCTTAAAAAACATTTTACCGAGAAAGCAAAGTATAGTAAGTACTAAGTTCTGACGAAAATGATTTTATGAAATATATTGCAAAAATATATGGCAACTGTAATCGAAAAAAATGAAAAATCAGGCACTTGCGAAATTTGACCCCTCATCACAAGTCCCAATCGTTTTTCTATTTTACCAAAGAAGACGTCATTTCAATCATACAAAAGAGTGTATATTTTAGTTTTCTGCTTCAAAGTAAGTATAAACATCGAAAAATAGGTTTTTACAAAGTGCCTGAAATTTCACAAGTGCCTGGTTTTAGTATTTTGTGCACGCTGTTGCCAGATTTTATCATTCCTATTCAATTTCAAATAAATCCAAAAAGTACGATGTTTATCTATATGTTGTCAAATAATATTGCTCATTGTAAAAACGCTGAAATTGTTGTAGAACTAGGAATTTATTTTAAAAAACAATGATTAGTAAGTTCTAACTCAAATAATTTAGAAAAACTGTTGCGAAAATATATGGCAAAAGTTATCGAAAAAAATGAAAAATCAGGCACTTGCGAAATTTGACCCCTCATCACCAGTCCCAATCGTTTTTGTTTTTTACCAAAAAGACGCCATTTCAATCATAAAAAAGGTGTATATTTAGTTTTCTGCTTCAAAGTGTATAAAAACACCGAGAAATAGGTTTTTACGAAGTGCCTGAAATTTCACAAGTGCCTGGTTTTAGTATTTTGTACTTGAGGTTGCCAGATTTTATTATTCATATTCAATTTCAAATAAATCCAGAAAGTACGATGGTTGACCATGTGTTGTCAAATGGTATTGCTCATTGCAATATTAAAAACGCTCAAATTGTTGTGGAACAATGAATTTGCGTTAGAAAGCAAAGAATAGTAAGTGCTGACGCAAATAATTTATGAAAATAATTGCGAAAAAATATGGCAACTGTCACCTAGAAAAATCAGGCACTTGCGAAATATGACACGCCTCCATCAGTCACAAACGGTATTGTATTTTACCAAAAAGTTGTAAATTCAACCATACAAAGTGTGCTTTAGAGTAATCAGATACATTGTAAAATAGGTTTTGACCAAGTGCCTGAAATTTCACAAGTGCCTGATTTCTATATTTTGTAATCAATGTTGCCACATTTTACTATTGAAAAATTATTTATACCCTAATAAATTGGAAATAATATTGTTTTATTGCAATATAGGGATGCAAAAAATTAGTCAAAGTCTAATTATCTTGTCAGGTAAATTGGAAATCCCAATGACGTACGGTAAAAATAAAAAATATCAAAGTGCCTGAATTCGCGAGTGCCTGGTTTTAGGGAGACCCCCTGGCACGACATTTGATGTTTTTCTTCATCATTTAGATCTGTACAGTGTATGTACGCTTGGTAGCAAGATATATACCGGTATCAGTAGGCTATACCGGTATCCCGCACAACTTCAAACTAATGGAAGATGCCACCTTAAAGACGAGTGCTGTTGGGGACAGAGGTGGGGCAGCGAGTGTGGTTATTGAGACTATATATCCAATTAGGGAGGATGAAGTGTCCCCAGTTTATTCAGCGGACAAGCCTTTGACGATTATGATCGAGCAGAATTCCGAGGGAGAAGAGTCATACGAAGAACCTCCATCTGAGGGCTTTGTATCACGACATGTATCTTGTTCTAGAAAACGAAAATTGGAAGCAAAGTTTTTAGATAAAAAATCAGTTATTTCTCTCTTATTGGAATCGGAGTCAAATATATCAATAATACCATGTGAACCAGAGTCAAATCAATATTATCTTCTGAAAGATAACAGAAATTATGTCTATGGTCGTCGAAGAACAAGTCGAAACACTTTCAATGTTGATAATCATAAATGGGATTATACATCACTAAAAAAACATTACTATGTTTTTTCGAATGGTGAATTCAAATATGTTGATTTCATTGGTGGTCAATATTTGATTCATGTTCCAAAAATGTCACAAGATAAGACAGAACGACAACCTATGTCTTGTCAACCAGAGCCTGAAAAGATTTTAATCATGAGAAAGTGGTATGGTTCAATTAGAGGCATTCTTAAAAGGCGAATTTCATACATTGAGAAATTTCCAGCTGGTATAAAGCCAAAACAACAGAATCTCATTTTGGTAGAATACTGTGAAGATGTCGACCATCATTTGCAAAGAGCAAAAATGATGAAAATTGAAGGATGCAATGCTTACAGCAGTATATTTCAACCTGAAGAAGAAAATATAAATATGGTCGAACCGAGTCTTAAAGATTCTCCATTTTTTCATTTAACATCTATAAATCTAAAAGAAGTCGGAAATTGTCAAATCAATATGGGTGGTAATAACAATGGTCTATTTTTTGATAAGGATCGAGCAATTGAAATTTTGCTGAATGCTGAAACAAGTCTAGATGAGATTCCCCAAGGTTTAAAAGAGAATGAATATTTCATTATTAATAATGAAGATAATTATCGAAGGGCCTTAGAAGGAAAAAGAAGAACATATATAGATGACTGTGGTGTTTGGAAAAATGTATCAATGAAGAAGCATTTATATACACTCATAGATGACAAATATGTTTATGTTGACTATACTGGTGGTAAATACAAAATTTCTAATTTGACTTTAAGAGCACAAACTGAGAAAAATCTTGAAAAATCGCAGATCTTTGTAATGAGAAAAGTGTATGGATCGTTAAAAAGAGATGAAAACTACAAGCGTAGAATATGTTGGATTGATGAATTTCCCGAAGGTGTATTCCCGAAGCAGAAAAACATTGCACTTGTAGAATATATTGGAAAGTATCCAAACGAAGATGTTCCACATGGAAATCAAAAACTGCCTGGTGGCTTGCCATATGTTAGAACATCAGCTAAGCGCATGAAGGAACTGAAGGAAAAAGTTGTGCACAAGACTGCAAAAGAAATAATCAAAGAAATCGGATTGGATAGCAACCCAAAGAATATAAAACAATTGCAAAATTTACGCTATCGAAGTAATTTGAAAATTTCAGCAGGATCTGCTAATGATCAAGTTCATAATGATGAGCTTCAGCAGGTTTTGGCAATGGTTCATGGCCATTCATATGTTCAGCAATGTATATGCACAAAATACAAACCGCCAGTAGTTATTGCATACACTTCTCAACAAATGAATTCTTTCAAATACAGATGTCAAGAAAAATCTGGGTTGAATCGTGTTCTTGGTATTGACAGGACCCTAAATGTTGGGCCAATCAGTTTAACAATATTAACTTATCCTCAACCTAACTTATTATGTCGTAAAACATCACAACCAGCAGTGATGATGGGGCCAGTGTTTTTACATATCGATAAATCTTGTCAAACATATACATTATTATTTAATCATATAAAAGGATGTTTACTAGAAGCAGAGAAGGCTGATATCGATGGGATCAGTGTGGCCTGCAAACCAGAAGAGGAAAAAGCAATCATCAATGCATTGAATTTTTCGTTTCCTGCCGCAACTGTAACTCACTGCGTTGATCACATGAAAATGGATCTGAGAGACCATCTGTCATCAGAGATTTGTCTACCTGATGATGTTGCTGATAACATTATAAAGCAGATGTTTTCAACCCTGAGGGATTGTGTTGAGGATTATGATTTTGATATGAAGTCGCTGCATTTACAGTCGGAGTATGATGCAACAATTCCTCAATTTGGTCCTTATTTTCGTAAAGTTGTTGAAAACATACGCCAGAGTCTGTGGCGACCAATATTAGAAGAAAGGCCTTTGCACAAATGGTCATTAGAAACTTGTAAAGCACTGGGACAACTGGTGCAGTCATGTGGAACATGGACATCTCTGACATTACCAGACTTACTTTTAAACCTGTATTCGATAGTTCAGTCACAAGAACAGGAAGAAATACAAGCACTTCACAACGAAGGCAGTTTTGCCCTTGCATCTTATGCAAAAAAATACCAAATTTCAAAAACTGAATGGCAATTAAAAACAAATAAGCAAAGAGCACGACTTGCTGAAAACTTGCGAAAAATAAGACCTGGTGTGCAAAAGAATGCTACAAAACCGCAAAGTGATTTGCCATATCAAACTCGCCCATTACTAGAAGACCCGAAGACTATTATATTTTACAAAACTGGGAAAGATGGTCAGCTATACTACTGATGCACTTTTGTCTTGATTCAATACAATATCATATATGGTGGTACAAAGCTAGCTTTAAGTGGTCTCTACCACCCTTATTCAATGTTTTGTGCTGAAGTTATAATAAAGGCGAATAAAACAGAATTCATATTTATGATTATTCGCGATTGGAATAGAACGATCAGCTTCCACAGTACCAGCCTTAACTTAAGTTATGGCGAGTGTTTCATTATACTTTTATTTGAACAAAGACAGCATAGATTATCGAATATTAATGACACAAGTTATACAGCATACATACATAATAATCGACGAAGCATCCGTAAAAGTCAAATAAACAATGAATGCCCGGGGTCGTAGCCATGGGATCAGTGGTATGGAGGATAGAATGTTACATCAACTTTGAACAATAAACACAAAATAATATATTGCACGAAATAATGTTAATAATACTAAGCACAAGATTATTATATACACAGAGAAGCTGAAATAAATATGTAAATAATTCATTTGAATGCTCTTGTTTGTATTTATCAATACACAATATAAATAGTATTCTAAACATTTTATGGTAAGTGGGCTGTGAAATAATTATATTTGTATAATGACAGCTACAGGCGGGACACTTCTGAGAAAATGACCAATAGCAGATATTATTTTGGGAAGAGATTGCTGGTCCAGGTCATTTTTTTCATTTACCATCCCAAAGCATCTAAATTACAGATGGAAGAAACCATTGCAATCCATGATTGGCAGCCAGTTTATACATAATAGGGATTTATTAAGATCCCTGTATTACCGATCATTTATTAACAATACTGATAATTGTTAACCTGCTAATTGTTCACTGCTCAAAATCTCATATCTGGTACTTCTTTATGTGTGAATGCTTCGTGATAATGTCTTTGGCTCAATTAACTTTCTAATTATGTAAGTGATCGAATATCAATTATAAGACAGTGTTTCTTTCTCAACACCCAATTAGGACCAAAAAGACATTTTAAATAAGTGCGCATCCTCACTAAAAGACATATAATTTGTGATGATCAGAATTGATTGAAAGACATTTTAGAGAAATCTGTACTAAATGAGTTTGGAATGTCATTTGAATTTTTATCCACAGCAGGGGATGTGCCCCATGGGTCATTCTTTGGTGGTACTTGCGGCTTAAGAGGTTTTGAAGTAAATGGCAGAACATATTGTTGGCCTGCCAGATGGAATGGATCATTTTGCACAGAAGGAACGGATTTTGCTTTATTAGAAATCGACTTAGGTGCTGGTGTTGGTCGCAATGGCACCAGTATATGATTATCAAGTGGTGTTGCAACCGTGAATGGTCCAGTTGAAAGATTACTCTGTGGTTTTTCTGCAGCCATCGACATATTGTTTGGTCTCTGTGAAACATGAGGCTGACCCACTCTTGGTGGTGGAAAATTAGTTTCTTGCTTAGTGTACCAAACATTTGCTGATTTTGACACTGTTGGGAGTGGCATCATTGTTGCAGGGGTTTTCCGAGGTGCTATTGTAGGTGGATTTGAATCCTTAGTTCCAGAAATTACACTAGGAATCAGTACCCCTGCTGATACAGGCCTTGGAGGCACATGTGCCGATGTGGGAGCATAAGGGTCCAGGTCCAATAGTGACGGCTCAGAGTGATTTTCGGGGATGAAAGCAGCATTCATATGTTGACTCCTAACCTTAGGCGGTCCCTTGGGTGGTGTCAATGGTAATGGAGGAGGCATACCAGCTGTGTTTGGAGGAGGAGCGGGTGCTTTCCGTTTAGGAACATGACGACTTCGAGCAGTGGCTCTAGGAGGTCTAGATGGTAATGGTGCAGGTTCAGGAATAAGAATAGTTGATGGCTCAAGCGGGGTGAATGAAGCAGTTGACTGGGGGCCAATCGATAGACCTGGTTTTGCTGTAGGAGGTCCTGGCATTATTGATGGAGATTGCGATGGAAGGGGTGGAGGTCCTGATGGCATAGTTGGTAGGGTGTTTGGTCTTGGTGGAGCACGCTTCTTTACTGGTCCACTAGAAGGTCGGGGTGGTGCTGATACTTTCTTGGTTAACTCTGGATTTGGTGGCATGTAGCTGTAAGAATAATGTTCGCTTTCAAAAGCCCACCCAGGGTCATTTACATCTTCCATGACCTCCTTGTTTGATTCATTAATTGTATCAGTGGCTTCAGAAACAGGACTATCATATGATTGCGTACTTGTTTGATGATATGTATTATATTCATACCTTGGTGATTCAGAACTGTCTTCTTCATGTTCCGCATCATTATGGTACACATCATAATTATATTGACACGGTTCCCCCTCGTTTGCATATTTTTCAGCATATGATTCATTAGCAGAAAATGAATGTGAATGTTGTCGAAGTTCATGTTCAACATCTTCCTCCCAACCTCTACTTTTTAATGTGACATAAATCAATGTTCCATTAACAGAAGTTTCATTCAAGTCTGTGGCTCTAACTGCTGCTGTACCATCACTGAAAATAACCATCAGTTTCCCCTTGAAGTGTCGGGTGATGATAACTTCACCAATTTCGTTCAGCCTTGACATGATTGCTTCAAATAGTTCACCAGACAGTGGAATGTCACCAGTATTTTCTTCTTGGGTTAATGATATCAAGATAGTTGCATCTGGAGGACCTTGGGCTTCTACAAATTTATGAAATGTTGTATTGAGATGTTCTTCATCAGACTGTATAATATCGACATCAAGTATCGCTATAACGGGACGATGATCAGAAGTTTTAATATCAGCTTTATTATAATACAGCAATTTTCCAGGATTCCATTCTGGATCTTGACTTACTGAAACTAACGATGAGCCAGAATCTTGAGTGTCCGCAAACCATTTTCTTCGAAACCACAACACACGATCAGTCCAAGCTGGTGTCCTGGACTTTTCACTAGTATCATAGTCATCGGAAAACAAATCATACTTATAGGTTGGTGCAAAGTTAGTATCTCCTTCTAAAAAACACTGGAACACTCTTCCCTCTTTCTTTTCTGTACAGAGTTGGTCATTGCTTTGCAAAGATTTCCAATCCTTTTCAACAACTAATTGTTTAACCTCATCAATTGGCATATCTATCCGATAGTTCAGATCTCCACACCAGAAAATATAATCATGACAATAGATAGATTTATTTCCAGAGAAAACCATCTTCTTGGATATTTCAGCAAAATCATTATTTCGATCCTGTACTTGTCCTTGTCCAGCAGCTAGATGAGAGCATACAAAACACAAAGATGAGTTATGAAACTGCATTCGTATACCAATTCCTCCTTTGTTTCCAGTTGCACCCCCCAATCCAGTTTTTACAGTTCCAATTTCAACATCTCTAATATGAGGTGTATGATGCGGACGAACAAACACATAAAAGCACACACCAACAAGCTGTTCTGAAGCAAGAAGGACATACTTGTACTTGTTAGATATTGTCTTCTGCAATTCTATTCCCCAGGTATGTTGATTAGTATGGCTTGTATTTACAATGTTCCCAGCACTGAGTTCAACCATCTCTTGAAATCCAATAACATAAAAGTCCATTGCTTTATTCCAGTCAACCTCAGCATCATTATTGTCTGCAAGATTGCTAAAGGAGTCACTTGACAAACTATCTTTGAATATTTCAACATAGCTAGCTGGGAAAGTTCCTTCCAATTCATCAGGATTGTATTCATCTCTTGAAACCCTTCCCTTCCACCATTCACCTGTCATTTCAGTCACCTCAATTGTGTCACCAGCAACAAAATCGAGATCGCCTTCCTGATGAGCTGGAAAGTCGTACAAAGCAGTATATCTTGGTAGCAATTTGGTGACATAAGCTGCAGGAAATATTCCATTACATCCATTGCAGGAACCTGACATCCATTCCCCATCCTCCAAGGCATGATGCACATCAATGATATCACCTGATGCGAATGACAAATCACCTTCTTCGGCAGAGGAAAAATCATACAAGGCCTTGTAAAAATTATTGGTTGGTGACTGTTCGCATTTGATGAGCCAGTCATCTAATGTTTGATCTTTATATGCCAGTGATCGGAAATGCTTTCCACCATTTACGTTCCAGGTTCCGATGGCAACTCTAATTGGCAAGATAGATGTGTAATCTTTGAATTTATCACACATGCCTCTCAAAACCGCTGTGGGAGCACGCAAGCAATCACCAGACATTAAATTGTTTGCCCTTGCCATCAGTTCAATATCTGCTGAGTTGGTACCAAGTATGAGTAAATCAATTGCACCTTGTTTACTCTGGTCAAGAAAATTGTTTTGTATTGCACGTGTCACCGATCTTGCACCATCTTTAAATTTTGTTTTACCTTCTAAGGCTCCAGTACCAGCATACATTCGACTGATTAGATCACCAGTAATGGGCCAAGCCGTTTTGAAAGCCTCTCTGAATCTATCTTCAAGTTGCTTATTATTTCCAAGTCCCAAACTTTCCAGTTGCTTTGGTAACATCTGCATTCCAAAATACGTTTTTGTACTATTTGTACGATCCAAGCAATCAAGGCAATTAATCCTAATGACACCAGTTTGAGTGATGCGTAACTTTTCATCATCTTTATAGGTATAACATCCATAACTCTCCAGTTTGTCCCATATCTTTGTTTTCAATTTGGATAAATTTTCAGATTTCCCTCTACATTCACAATGATAATCGAAACAAAACATTGTTACTTCTTCACTGAAAGCAGACTTTTCATGGTGTAGTTGGAAAAGCCTACTCAACATGCTCTCGTCCCCTTTATTACCAAGTAAATTAACTATGAGACACTGCCCATAATTATCCACAATGCTTGAAAAATGTCTATCATATGTGGGCGCAGACGCTTCAAATCCTCTAGAAATCTTGATTTTATGGGATCCTACATTCAGGCCTGGTTGCCCCCAAAACAATGGAATAGAGCCACGAATTTGCATGAATGAAGAAACATTTTCGCCAAGTATGATTGCTTGTTCACTTTCTACAAAGTTTGCAACATGACCCTCATCGTCCGCACCTCGAACATTGAATCTTGTGCCAGCACGTTCGCAACTCAAACGTGATATAACCACAGCTCTGGCTTGTTGAGCACCTACATAAACAGTTCGTATGTCAATTCCTCCACACATAACTCTGAAGAGCCACAAGGCGCAATCAGCACCAAAATGTTTGAAATGCAGGTGCAAAAGGTGATTCCAAAAGAAACGTTGGTCATCATTCTTCTTGTCTTGATCCTGGAGTGAAACAGTCAAATCCAAAATTTCACTCCCATTCATTGCAGACCAAGTAAAATAAAATTTTCCAGAGCTGAGTAACTTTTTAACATCTGTGCACCTGCTATCTGCATCTACAGTACCATTTTGCAAAGAAAAAAAACTTGCTCCAGTAATGCGGAATACTTCGCAGTTGAGTAACTTTCCAACTGGCATACAAGCAGTCACAAGCACCAGGTATAAGCTGCGGGCTTTACCAGCTTTGTCATCTCCAAACATCATAACTCCAAGACATCCATATGCATCAATTGCCTTTGTATAATCCGACTTAAGTTCTTCTTTCTCCTGCGGAGTAAGAGATACGACTGTTCCTGATTCTAGTAACAGTCCATCTTCAAATTGTCGAGACTCCAAAAGCACACTGTACGGTGGTCCTAGCTTATGCAGCACACGAAAAACTCGACTCAAAGACATAGTTAAAAATTAACTACATTACAATAAATAAAACTAAAGGATAAATTGTAAAAAAAAACTTTGTGATGAAATCAAGTAAATTTTCCTTGCACCAGAGTAGGGATGGGCAATATAGAATAATAGAATACTTAAATCGAATACCGAACCCTATTCTGTTTTTATTGTTATTCAAATGTGCGAATTCTTCCGCCACATTGATGAATTACAATTTAAAAAAAGTAATCTTGTGAATGTATTACTGCCTTTGTATTTAATTGAAAAAATCCTGAGCATTGGATTTTATCTGTTACCAAACAAGCCAATGAAATGTAAGAATTTAAAAAATTATTTTTTGCCTTGAATTGTTCAAAATTTAGGTAATACCTAAATACTTACCGGTATATGTTAATTAAAATATATAGCCTAGTGCATTATACACTTTAATACTAAATTGTGAAATACAAAATATAGGTATGAAAAAATATCAAATTATTATCAATGTGAGAGCGCGGAAAACACAGGCCAGACATAGGCCACTGCAATTTATGTGACCGCAACCGGAGCCTGGTAGGGCTCGCGTCAATCAATAATGTAAAATAAACTCAACGACTCAATCAATTATAATCGAGTATGTCAGCCTGTTTATTTTTTGTGAGCAAGACTCATAAAATAACATCTACAGACAAATTATTTTTAATTGCAAAATTTTAATTTTCAGTTATTATCGTTATATATCTACTCAGACTTCGATACGTTTTGCATAATGTTCATCAATAGTTCAGGCCGAGAAATGTCTTTACCACATGTGGAAACTTTTTTAAATTATCGTTGACCAACATACAGCCCGACACCTGACCAAATGTGTGTCTATTTCGGCAGTAACGAAATAGACACGACACGACAGTAACGATTTAATCGGCGACTTGAATTTCGAAGAATATGTATTTTTCTGACGGTCAGAGCAAAGATTCATTTTCATTAATAATATGATGAATCATTACAGCATTAAATATCACGAAGTACAGTAGGGCACAGTTTGCGTCTGGTACGATGGCTGATCAATACATCAGATCGAGCCACGCTTGTCTCGATAATAATCGGAATTAATCGTGGCCGTTATTAGACCATAATTGCGTTTCTTTGCTAAAAACTGTCAAAAATATAATCCTTTGGTAAATCTAATTATTCTCTCCCCCCTAGGAACCCAATGGTGATGTTTTCAGATTGCACTTCCTTTTACTTTATTCTTCAGTAACGGATTGCCGATATGGAGGCCCAGACTGTCTCGCAGGGTCATAACCCCCCCCCCCCTTTGAAAACAATTTTTGATGCGAAATTTTTTCTACAAAAAAGCAACAGCGCCATTTAACGGTTGCGCATCATGGTTTTGCGGCCATACGATATTATTCTGTGCGTTATCACAGACCAGACTTTTTTCGTCTTTACATCATGCTATCTTTGAATTGGCGCTGATAATGATAAATAAGAAGGTGTAATCGTTGATTGCAATTCAGTAAGGCACATTTTCCCTCCTCTCCACGAAACAGACATGAAAAGAATTTAACCGCCCGTTATGGGCGCTCAAAAGGAGAGAAGGGTGATCAACTAATTTAAGGACTCTCTTTTTCCGGCGCAATCACTCAAATCAATCACAGCGCATTGAAAAGAAAAATTGAATTTATTAGAGGGTAAGAATTTACCGACGGCTATCTCTAACAGGTAGAAACGATTAATGTGGAAATGTTTTTTTCCTTCCCTTTTTCACGCCCATCATATTTTTCAATTCCTAACTTTGCATAAAGCGCGTCAACATCGCAATGACAAAAAATTTACTGCAGCCTTCGATTATGACAAATTTAGGAAATAAAACATTGTTACTGGATTTTTCAGTCTTCCGAAAAAATTCCCAAAAAAAAAAAATTTATTGTCACGACGATCGTTTTGGCAGCCGACATCTCAAATACTGTTGTTCAAAATGACAATACTCATTATTCGGTGTTCATTAAAATCATCGAATAACCCGATTAGAAAGTACGATTTTGCACGCCACTCTATCAAGACCATGGCACATGTAAAAAATCATTAAATGGCTATAAAAATTACCTTCATTAACATTAAATTTCAAGTAATAGTTTCACATTTCTTTAAAATTAATTTTAGCGATTTTTAATATTTTTAATTCTAACTACAGTTGCCCACTGACTACGGATTAATGGTCGATGTTTGAAATAGGACTTGCAAAATATGCACCATACACCGCCAGGCAAAGAGAGGCGGGCTACACACGTAACGAATTTCGCTGTGGACGACGCATACCTTTCAGTTTATAAATGCATTACATCATCGTGAACTGCCCTTTTGATGCACTGTTTTGATTTCACCGTAACCCCCCGTTGAAAAATCCTGGCTGCGCCCCTGGTTCCTAGTACTAAAGCTCCTCTCACACAAATTTTTTCACAGCATTCGAACCTGCACAGGGTACCGTAATTCAGAATACAGTAATTAGAAGTGCGATGGTAGATTGGCAGGCGGGGGTCAGACCCAAACGATCCACCGAGCTTTTTTTTTGCTAATAACGTAAATCAGTTTACTACTCATACATTCATAAACACAATTAAAACATAGAATACACACGTAGACTAAGCCATATCCTATTACCTTTTTTAAATGAGGACCCATCTTGGAACATACAGTCAGGGTTGCCAGATTTCAGCGATCAAAAAAAGCCAAATCGAGACATAAAATAGCTAGAAATAGCCAAAAATTTTACTTTTACTAAATACAGAAGTACAAAAGCCCCATGATTTGTCAGATTTGAAGCCCTTGGCACAATACTGATGCCGATGTAGAGCCATCAGTTCATTTAGTGATCCACACAAATGTCTTTTCCCATTTAAAGTTGTATTTTCGGTTGCTATCATGGCGATTTCCACTTCGGCTGGACGAAGTGTTTAAAAGTGAAAAAGATTAATTAAATGGCAGCACCAGAATCTACATTCGGCACAATCAGACAATACCGGTACAGCAGTAGACTGCAGTCGAGCTGACATCTACAGATCTAGGCTATATGAAAAAGTTAAAAAAAATATCCAAAAACCAAATAAAAAGAAATATCAAGCGAACAGCTATATTTTACAATTCAATACAGTACGGCACACTTTACAGATCGAGAGACAATCTCTCGTTTTAGAGTAACCTATTTTAACGGTGATCGAATATCCTTCCTTCGAGGGACGTCTGGCGGATTTTGTCTCCCGATATCGATAAATTGAAGCTGCGCAGTAAACTAACAAAAAGCGCAATCTAAAACCATCACCATTGAATTTCTCGTGAAAAAATAATCAGATCTACCGATGTAAAAAAAATTTTACCGGTGCGTTCGAGAGAAATGAGCAAAAAACGATTGACGGCGTGACGTCACTGAATTTCAATCGACGCACGCAGGCACGCATCGGTCGTTCCTCGACGTAAGCCTTGGCGTGCCGTGTTTCTCTCATTTTCAATGTAGATAGGATGGCGTGTTAACGATAATAAATGTATCAGAGATAATAAAAATTACATTTTGATAACACACAATCGATAAACAGTAAAATTAATGCCTCGATATAGCATTAGATGAATTAGTTCATAAAGCAATAATTTAATCTAATGCCGCAACGAGACATTCATATGCCGCAAAATGTGCAACTTGCGTAATTTATACAAGAATAGATCGGCGAAAAACGAGAATCAAATTAGCAAAATAACTTAATATAATGCCACATCGATACATTCATATGCCGCAAATGTTTAACTTCGAAAGTTACGGTATACGAGAATAATTTAATTCAATGCCACATCGAGGCATTCATATGCCACAAATGTTAATCTATACGAAAATAATTTAATTCATATGCCGCAAATGATCAACTTGCGTAATTTACACAATAATAGATCGGCAAGAAACAAGAATCAAATTAGCAAAATAATGTAATATCATGCCGCATCGATGTATTCATATGCCGCAAATGTTCAATTTGCGTAATTTATACTAGTATAGATCGATGAAAAACAAGATTCAAACTAATATAATGCGGCATCGATACATTCATATGTCGCGAATAACTTCGAAGTATACGGAATACGAGAATATTTTAATTCAATGCCACGTCGTGCGTGATTTATGCAAGAATAGATAGGTGAAAAACAAGAATCAAATTAATATAATGCCGCATTGATGCATTCGTATGCCGTAAATGATCAACTTGCGTAGTCTGTGAAAAACAAGAATCAAATTGGCAAAATAGTTTAATCCAATTAATCATCGAGGCTTTTATTTTATCATGGATTGTTGACGCTCAAATTTAAATAAAAATCTCGAATATAATTATTAAATGATATCGTAATTCGTAATCGTTGTGCGTTCTGGAAGTTTCAGTTCTAAATAACCGAAGATGCTATGTTAAATTGTTGTAATTACAGGTTTTAACGGGCATACAAAGTTTCACTATCGATATTAATTTAACTATTGAAAAAAAAAAACTTCGATATCGTGCATCGTTTTGACTTCGTTATACAATTCAAACGATGTCATGTAGTCACAAACACTTATAATAAAATTAGTTGGACTCGTAGACGTATTAATCGAAACGCATAATTTTGTAATCTCTTGATATTATTTAAAAGTAATTATTTTATTCACAGACGTTTGCATTTACGCGACATTATTTTAATTAGGCACTACCAACAGTAGACTGAATATAATGATTCAGAAATACATCGTATATCTAACCATATAGGTCAGTATACATCGGTAAATAACGAAAATCAAATTAGCAAAATTCGAGAGCCGTGCCGAACTGTGCGTGACTTTCTTTGACGTCATATCCAGACATCTGACGTTCTCACGCATCGAGCTCGCAAACGACTCGACGCCCCCCGTTTCACAGACGCCTATTCATTTTTTGGCTCTTCCGGAATGTAGACGCAAATCCGGATTCGGGATAGTGTGCCGTACTGCAATATGGCCTAGCCTATACAATACAGGGTGTCGCTTCAGTACAGCAGTATGTGATATATGTACCCACATGTTTCTACCTAAACTTGTGATATACCGTTACCTTAAAAAATTCTCCCTAGCTATCCTATATAGCTGTATACCGTACTTAACTATAGAAAAATTTTTCACTTTTTGAATTTTGAAACCATTAATTTCATTAAAAAATTATGTCAGAATGTTCACAACCCTATTTCTGTACTTGAATCCAGGAATCTGTCTGAGCGTCTGCAGAAACTGCAATTATTTCTTAATCGTTAAGGTAATAAACAAGGAAATCGATGCTCGGGAAATCCAAATTTTAAGTACCGGTAGTCTAGCTAAGCAATACAGCAATAGGCTATTGTTACACACTAAATATTGTATTTAATATGATTTTAAGAATAGACCAGTAGACACTAGAATTCGAGAATAGACGTAAAAAAGTCACACAGAAATTCTGACGCCAAACGTGTTTGAAGAGCCAAAAATGGCAAATTTAGCATTAAAAAACGTGCCTCTTAGCTCCTACAGGTAGTTAATTTTAGCGTAGTTAATCACATCACTGGTGAAACTCAATTCTGATTACTGCAACTAAACTAAAGCCCTACATATGACATATTGAAAATTAAGTTATAGCCTACAACTATTTTTTGGAAACAGAACTAAAAACTGACAAATAGCCTAACACACAAAACTATAAAAACGAGGCAATGTCAGAATGTTCACAACCCTACCCTACTTCTGTACTTGAATCTGTCTGAGTCTGCAGAAACAGCAATTATTTCTTATTGGTTAATCGTTAAGGTAAAAAACAAGGAAATCGATGCTCGGGGAAATCCAAATTTTAAGTAGTCTAGCTAAGCAATAGGCTATTGTTACACACTACTGCACTAAATATTGTATTTAATATGATTTTAAGAATAGACACTAGAATCTGAGAATAGACTTAAAAAAGTCAAAAAAAAGCCAAACGGAAATTCTGACGCCAAACGTGTTTGAAAAGAGCCAAAAATGGCAAATTTGGAGTTAAAAAAGCCAATATGACAACCCTGCATACGGTACGGTACAGTATAAAAGAGCGATGCTCAAATACATGAACGAAGCGAAGCAGAATACAGTACCGTAACGTACGGCACTAACGGCAGCACGGCGTACCTTTATCTTACGCAGTGGTTCCAAACTGTGGGTCGCGACCCCAGGCGTGGTCGCTACTCGTTTATTAAAGATTTTCCGGGGTCGCTGAACGTACAATACGGCACACAAAAGTCGCTGGAATTTAATAGCGGAAAAATGAAATTCGCTATTTTTAAAATAGGAAATGACATTTACATGCCAATCTTTTGCCTTCTTCAAGTTGTCTTTTGCTAGCTTGGCCTTTATCCATAATTTAGGTTTATTTAATAAATAAGGAAAATTATTTTCTATGCTTCAACCAAATAGGTAGATGGGCGGCAACAATATGCTAACGACGCCATTTTGTGGCACTTTAGGCAATGCTGAACAATGGAATCGGTAATACGGGAATTTTCGGAACAAAATTTCAGCTACGGTCAAGATACATACATACAAAACGTCATGGCACCAGAAAATCCGACATCATAATACTTGTTTTTAGTGAGATCTGGCATAGTAAAAATTGTGTCTAATTATGCTTACATTCTTTGTTGCTTATATGAATCAGTATATATATATATATATATATATATATATATATTATATATATATATATAGCTGTTTCATATTTTTATTCTTCATAAAATACATACATTATTACGGTAAAGAGTGATTAGTTAATTGAAATTGAAATACTTTGTTTTTAAGGTTAAATGGATAGATTTTTTTAAGTTAATCAGATTCATTTAATCGGTCGTATTTCAATTTTTTAAACGATAAATATTTGAAATTATTAACTTGATTAAATATCTGACATTATTCCTTCTGATTGTCAAGGCCCTCGAGGTTAGGGCCTCTAGGCTGTAGCCTACCTTCCCAATGGTGTATACCCGAGCCTCGTTCGAATCCCATGACTGATGACTGAAAAAACTTGATTTCAAACAATTGTTTTAATACAATTTTTATTGAACAAATTCCCATTTCTAAAGATAACGCAATGCACGAACTAATTTTGGTTTAGCCAGAATCATAAAATTTTATCTCAAATTTTTTTTAAGCACAAATAGGTAATGAATATCATCTGTTGATTATGTCCGCAACCACACATGATGTACTTTAAGCTTCAAGCAAGAATTTCGATATATATATATAGGTCAAATTATATTAATTTATTTGAAATTTAGTGCATATGAGGAAACACCATACAATTTTATTACGAACCACGCTTTATAGCAGGGGTCACCAACGCGTTGCCCGCGGGCACCAAGTCGCCCGCGAAGATCATATGAGTCGCCCGGCGGTCTGTTCCAAACTAAGCTTGATAACGGCTCTTATAAGTAAGCTGGATCAATTAAATTTTTTCCTGCTATTTTAGTATAAATCACACTTATATGGGAACTGGAAATGACACTATATTAATATTTGTAACCATCAACCTTATTTTTGTTTGACCTCAGTAATGTGACGGGTCAATTTACGCTCTTCCAATTATGACATAACACCGATATCACTTTCCACGAACCCGCACTTTTTCTTGTCCGTTGGTTTGTGGAGCAGCAATAATACAATTATTGATTCCAAAGAAAAATGGCAGAAAAGCGATGAAAAACTCATCATTTTCACAATGAAATCATTTTTACCACCATGAAAAAAGCCTGCGTGTGTCTCATTAGTGGAGCGATCGTAGCGACGGCAAAGCGGAGAGATATTTCACATCTTGTCACGCAATCTATCCACTGGTCAGCGCAGTACGGGCAGAAAAAGCTCGCGATTCAAATCATACAGCAATCCTATTTTACGAGACCATCGTTTGGTCAACCTATCTTTGTGAATCAACATTTTTGACATAAACTCAGGATAGGAGGAGATTTACATATTTATCCCGGGGAGAAGATAGCCGATAAGACGACTCAACCATATGACGACCACGGCCTCTCGCCCAGTTACCAGTCCATGTCGGGTATGAGATTAGTTAGTTATTTGTTTGCGGATGCATGGACTTGATGGCGAATGAAGCCGTAATCGGCCAGCGGTTACGTGAACCACCCTACGGCGTCGAGGAGTCCAACAATCCTTTAGTACATAACTATTCCCGCATGGAATTCTAACCTGCGAACCTAACGCTTAACACGATGGGCCACAGCGCCGCGACTCATTCCACCAGGAACAAACACGGAACACGCCTCACTGATGAAAATCTGCAACACTTGCTCAGAGTTACAGTGTCAAGTTACACGTCGAAGTATGATACTCTGCAACATTTGATAGTATAACTGTTAAGTACATTTTATCTTAAACTTGCGCAGAGTGTTGAAAATCAATTTGAAAACACTCAGTCTTGAAATGCAAGCGTCATAGATAAAAATTTATCTGCTACGTTGTGATAATCGTTTGATTCCCTGAAGAATCCTAAAGTTTATTAGTGTCTCTACTTCACTAAATACCAGTAATTATACCAATAATTGAAGCTTAATCGGGCAACTGACTTTTTCAGAAGTGTACATTGAACTGGTAGCCCGCAGCTCAATCTGTACCCAAAAAGTAGCCATCGGCCTCGAAAAGGTTGGTGACCCCTGCTTTATATTATCTTCATCTAGCGCGGCGGTGTGGCTCAACGGGCTAAAGCGTTAGGAATACGCTCGCCACCGCACCTCTAATTACTCTGCGTGGATTCGCAGGTTCGAATCCCAGGCAGAGATGGTTATTTGCGATAAGATTGCTGGACCCTCGCCGTCGTTGGGTGGTTCACGTAACCGCTGGTCGACGGCTTCCTCCTCCACCAGTCCATGCTCCGAAAACAAACAATAACTAATCCCATACCCGACTTGGAATGTAACCGGACGAGAGGCCGTGGTTCGCCATATGGATAAGCCGTCTTATCGGCTTTCCTCTCCCTCGGGATAAATAAACCTATCCTATCCTCTCAGCACGCCAGAGCTATTGGAACAGCAGTCCGAATCAATGATTTGATGTAAAATTCCAGAGTTTTGGGCGAAGTTTATTTGTCTGGTATGATTAGCGATACCGTGTTCTCTCAGAATTCAAATGTACAACCAACAAGCTGAACCTTCGTTTACAATGCTTTAAAACGGACTCGCTATGTGGGCAATTGGTGATATAACTATCACTTGAGTAGTTACTAGAGTAGGTGCCTGCCTCCAATGTATTCTGAAAACTGACTTGTCCCAGGAATTATGTCCCATAATTTGAAAGAATATTTGACCTAATTAATAACATATGTTATACATATTGTGGACGGAATGTATTTTATAGCATAGGAAAATAGTACACAGGTTCAGGTAGAATAGATAAGTTACGACATTATATTTATTAGAAATTGGCTATTAATAGGCATTATGTTAACTTTTCCAAGTATAATCTTTAATCGATTAAAAATCTAGAATGTTGATCCTATCATCAAGTGCTTTGAACAGTTTTGGTAGTAATGGTTCACAAATCTTTTTCAGGTAATTGTTTGTGACTGATTGTTTTTCGAAAATCTTAATCCTGTACTAGAGATATCAAGTTTCGAAGCCTTGTTGCTCAACTGCCTAATGTTTAATTTAGCTTTTCATTGACTCTAATCTCAGATAAAGCATATCGTTCCATTCTAACACATCAGTATACACGGTCTTGGTTGGATTTGAATAGTGCCGAACTTTGGCCCTATGTAAATGAAGTCGTTGAACTGTCCCTCGCTGAAAGGCCTTCCAAGATATTAATCTCCAATAGGACTCGTGAAGATCGCTTTCTGAAGGGTATGGGTGTTCCTGTAAATTAACGATGTGAAATCTGAGATTAACTTATCGATAGGCTTACAAAGAACATCATCAAATCTAACCACAGTTACAAGATTCACACATGCCTAATGCACGACCCATAATGCAAGCAGTCTTTTCCGGGAAAAAAAAAACAAGATTTGAATAAATATCGATTGGAATATTATCGGGTCGAAGGCTCCGCGTTCAATAATACAATCCGTTAAATTAACAATGCGAGTTTTTTACTGGTGCAGTGAGCGATTACTCAGAAATAAAAGCAATATTTTAGATTTAATTAAACACATCGCGAGTTATCGATGATGCTCTTCCTTTTTCCAATTATACTGCGTCGCCAACATAGATAGAGATATATGATAAGATAACACACTATTTGACTTGAATGAAAACTCCATAAAAACAAAACGTTTTTTGAAAACAGTGATAAAATTTCAAAATATTATTTGTACACGAATGTACAAGCTGAACGACTCACATTAATCAGCAAGTAATTTAGGGATCAAGGTAACAAATTTTAAAATATCCTCATTTTGGTATTACGATTCAGTTTTTCATATCGATCATTCGAAAATTATGACAGCTTGTCACTATCGGCTCAGTCAATAACAATCAATATTATTTCAAGGGCTTCTATTGCTCAGGGTATATGATGTTAGCAATAATTAGGACCAGTTTGTCACCCGTGGGAATTCAACACAGATATGGAAAATTTTCAGTTTTGCTTGGAATGTATTGTATACTCGTTTCCAACATATTGAACTTATAGTTTTCAAGTTCCAATCATCATAAGTGCGCAGTAAACGTTGTGGGTGTGTGCATCAAAAGCCACCCTGATAATCGATTTTATTTGGGCTGATGAAAAATGACATTTTTAATATGTATTAATAAAAACATACGGACCTCCTGTAGTATGCGCACCAAGATGGCGCACAACCTGGACTCAGGTTGTGTACCAGGTTAGGATTCAGGACCAGGTTATGCGACATCTTGGTGCGCATACTTCAGGAGTACCAAACATACACTATTCCCTAACCGCAAACATATGATTATATATTGATAAAAGAGTTGCGAATGACACGCTAGGTGCAATACATCTGATCTGATGTTTCAGGCGTGTCGGTAAATATCAGCAATAGTCGACAATAGAGAGACTTAATCAACCACAACAAAGTGCAGATAAATTTTGTATTAAACTACTTTATAAACCAGCCAGTTTTGCAACAATCATACTTATTGGATTTTTCATTCAGCGAGAAAGCTCATATTAGCCGCAGATGCACCGACACAGTTACGGGAGAAATCAATGATTTCTACCGATAAATATGCATTCAGAGGAGCAATATCTAAGCTCGCGACTTCATTAAGGCATTTTGTGAACAAACATAAAATATTAGGTGATTCTGACAGCTCGTTTTTTGACATTTTAGTTAGTGCGTCGTTAACCTGCCTGTGTCGTTCCGATTGGTTCGTGGGTATTTTATAAAAATAAAAATAAAATGTTTGAGTTACTTACAGTATCGCGCAAATTCTTTAAAGACTCATCGGACATATTGTCAAGATAAAATTTCTTGTTGAGAACCAAACACTCCGCACCGTTGCTTATCAATGCCAAACTTGGCTGTTCGTTAAAAAGAACAGAACCAAGTCCGAAGCTGTTCCCTCTCGTCAGTTTTCGTATATTTACATACACCTTCTTTAACTTTCGATCGTCAGCAGCAGGCACATCTTCTTCAGAATCCGATGATGACTGTATAATGAGGAGAAAATGCTTATGTCTTTTTTACTCGAATTGAAATTAGAAAAATGAATATCGTAGGTAAAAGCCTTACGTCCAACTTCGACAAAAAATCGTCTGCAGACAACGTGTCAACTACATATGCTGGCTTATTTGCTTCTTTTTCCGATTTTTCAGGCATCTGATGCAAAGTAGCTTCTAGGCCTGTTCCAGCGGAATGTTTGTTGTGATTTCGACGCGACCCGTCTTCTTGAGGTGAAGATATACCGGTTTGTAAATAGGCAGCTTTCATTGGGCTTGGTGTGCGTGGTGTACCCGCTCTGTCAGACACTCTGCTCATACGAAATTCTATGTCTGTTTGTGCTGGAGCAACATAAGCATCTATGTCGCCCCCTGTTATATTCATTGTAACTGTATTTTCCTTTTTGTTGTTAAGAACATCTCGTTCATGAATATTTATTTTTCCTGACTCCCCTTCCTCATCATCCTCTTCACTGACAGGGGTAAGAAATCCCTCTTTAATGTCGATGTTGAGTTCTTTCAGTAGAGACGCTATAGAAGGGCAAAATGACGATTTTAGTCATAGTATAGACAAGTCGACGGACAATGATATGTAAATTGTATCTCACCCATTTCAATTTGTTTGTAAGATGTTGCAACACTCACTTGATCTGCTTTTACATTATCTTCAATATTCTGGATTTTATTTAAATGATCTGACAAAATAAAATAGATACAAACATGTGTACCTATCGCTGGTTTGGTGGGAATACAATATATATGCTTTCTGGGGATATGTACGTACATGTATTTTCTGCACTAAAAAGTTGACTAATGTATAACCGCATGCAAATGAAACCCCGTATTCGAGATTAGAGGTTCTTTCCAATAATTCAGAGTTATCCCTTTCATTTCCTTACAGGTCACATGTCGTGATTTTCTATATAATTCATCTATATATATACCCAAATAATTGGTGAATATAACTTTACTCAGTCATTTTGTCTAATCATTTCATTCAAGAATGCTCAGAGCTATTTCTTTCATTGCCTTATAGGTCAGGTGTGGTTTTTTATATAAATATAATTTAAATATATACAACTAATTTGTGGATATAACTTTACTCAGTCATTTCGCAAAGTCTTTTCGTTTGAGAATACTTGCTAAACATCAACGTCCACGCCTATAAGTGTATGCACTACATTTTGAGTCACGTTAACATTATTAGCTTTTTTAAAATCAGGACGAAATATGGATTTATATCAAAATTACGGTCACCATAATGTATAGTCGATATTAAAATTTTAAGGTGGATTTCCAAATTTTCAGCGATGAATGCTGAGGCGATACCTTCTTCGTTGACTTCTTCTTGTTTTTCTACAAGATGCGTCATTAAATGTGATGGTAAAATAGCTGTTTGTTCTGCCATTTGTTTACGGAATATTTGGTGAAGTGTTAGATTCTGCACTTTTAGAGGTTTTAGAACAGAGCAGCTTCCCTGTAAACAATTTCAATATTAACAAGTTCAGAATAATTTTAAAAACTAAAGAGAATGAAATATGAGAAGTAGGTTTTTTGTTTTGATTTCTAAAAAATTTTTTTAACAAGAAGGGCGCATTTTAAATAAACTTCATTGAAATACCCCCTGCATTGCTGTGAAACTACGGCGAAATGGTGCGTTTTGGCAGCCTTACAACCTGTCGGAATAATATTTTCGAAATAGTGAAAAGAATTTGCTTCGCGTCGCATTATTGCCAACTTAGTAAATACTCCAAAGTCATAAGATAATAACTGCAACGTTTATTCGGGATATTAGAGAGACACTTCGAGTAGAAGGGTAAAGAAAAA